AGATAGCAAAGAAAGGAGTGAGGGGTAAAATCAATTTTGAAAACGAACGGCGGGGGAAGTGGAAGTGCTTGAGCTGCCCTGCCCCTTTGTCAGTGAAGGGACCAAAGGTTTGCCATCCTGAAGCTGTCTTTTTTGGATATTGCTTTTAAGCTGTTTATTAAGAAACAAGACTCAGAAGGAAACTTTGACCCTCCCCCCTTTCCTGCCCAAGTAGGAAAATTCTGGCCAGACAGCTCAGAAACAATGGGGCACAGGGAGGATCTAGCTAAGGGCACCTGCCTGAAGTTTTCTCGTTGACCATGCTTAATTCAAATTAGGCTAAAGGAGCATCCTACGTTTTCCCTCCAGAAGCAGGTTTCTCTGTCTGAATCTCTTCAGCAGGCAAGGGGGGAGGGTCAAGGATTCTTTCTGAATCTTACTTCTTAATAAACACCTTAAAAATCAATATCCCATAAAGCAGCTTCTGAGTGGCCAAACTCTGATTCCCTTCGCATGCCTGTGTGAAGTCTCCATTTGCATGAATTAAAAACAAGATTTTCTCCTATTAATCTGCCTCAGTTAATCTGTTTATTAGCCCAGCCTAGAAGAACTCAGACGGTGGGTGGAAAAGTATTAATATTTTCTTAGCTAAAGTCAAGATTTCTTTTTCAGTGCCCTACTGGACAGGTAGGGCAAGAGTGTCTCTCTCCTAAATAAGGACACCCAGGTCACCTAGATTTTGAGCCAATCTGAACCAAATGCAGCCCCGGTTTGTTGTATAACAGAAGTAAATAGTATTCATAAACTCTTCTCCTTTAAAAATTACACAACTTTTTGTAATGCTATTACGTACTTTTATAACATATTTTTTCAATATTTTCCTTCAAATCTCAGGCACACGAGTGAGCAGTCATTTTAAGATTTTATTTAGCTAATTTCAAGAGTATTGAGGTCTGGATCCTACAATAATGTCTCTACCCACTTCCCTCCTCTCTTTCCCACACTCAGCTTTTTCCCAAGATAAGAGAGATGGACAGAGTGCTTAAAATCTCAATAATTAAATCCATGGGAAAATCCTTATTGGAATATTTTTATAAAGTTAGAATATTTCCAATGATGATGTGTAAAAAAAAAAAAAAAAAAAAAGTCAGGTTTTTTTGGCAGTGACATAATGATGAAAACTCTCTTAAACATTAGTTTACAAAATAATCTCCATAAAATTATTTCCTTTAGAAAAGCAGCCACTTTCTCACGCCTTGTTAAAATGTTATCATTATTATCTTGAAGGGACAGATTAGTGGGAGATTAAGGAAAGGGCTCTATCATTTCCACTTGTTCACTTGTGCTTGTTTTATTATATTATCTCCTACTTGTGGTTCTTCACTTGAATCATTTGATAAGCCTTAAATCCACTTAACCACACACAGATAAACTGCACAAAAGCAAACCACCATCAATTCAGATTGAGTTGGTCCCAGTCTCCCTCGCGCATCTAACGTGCAGGGCTGATTCTGGACCACACTGCCTGTGACCACCACTCGCTCTGATTGGTCAGTGCCTCAGCCACAGTTTTGTCTGTTTTTGCTTTTGAATATCATCCCCACTAACTGATAGGTATGCTATGTAGATCAGTCTGCTTCATAGGCCAAATTAGACCTCTCATATTAAGCTCTATTGTAAATATTAGCAGAAGCTAATTTTCTTTTTTTAAGATAAAAAATAAACACATGTAGAAATTTTCATTTTTTCTTCCCTTACCTCCAAGGATGGCCTTGTGGAGGTACCTCCACACATCCCACCTTGGAAGCTACTGGTCTGACAACTACAGGATAGTTCAGAAAGTCGGCTTTTGGTTCAGTACACAGAAACATCTTTCAAGTAGAGTTTTCCAAAGTGGCCAGCATCCCTAAGTAAAGGATTCCCCAAACACTGGAAACATTCAAGCAGGAGCTAGATGTCTACTTGCCAGAGACACAGAGACTGGATTCAGTTATTTCCAAGATCCTTTCCTTTGTATTAAAGTACTAGAAGTAACAGGCAGCACCCTTGTTTTTATTTATAAGGAAAGTAACAGATAAATAGGGAGTTCAGTGACTTTGGGTAAGTTATTTCATCTCCTTGACCAGAATTTAAATCACTTTTTGAGGCCCCATGCAGCTCTAATATTCTGGGGTTCTATGATTCTTTCTTCTTCACCAAATATTATATCTTGGTTCTTAGATTTTAAAACGTACTTTTTTTTTTTAAATATATCTTTATTGATTTCAGAGAGAGGAAGAGAGAGAGGGAGAGAGAGAGAGAAAAACATCAATGATGAGAGAGTCATTGATCGGCTGCCTCCTGCACGCCCCCGAATGCGGATCGAGCCCGCATCCCGGGCATGTGCCCTGAGCAGGAATTGAACTCAGATCTCCTGGATCCTAGGTCGATGCTCAACTGCTGAGCCACGCTGGCTGGACTGATGCTTTTTAATCTATACAAACCAATTAATGGTTTCACATGTTTTTCAAATTTTTGTCATTCCTGCTTTGTTTTCTTATTCCACTTTGATTTCTTTTGTTTCCTTTCTAAGTTCTAACTGCAAACCCTTTAAAAAAGAAAACATTTCTTTCTACCCTATCCCTAATACAGAGATTTAAAGCATAATTGTTTTCTTTCTATTACTGCTTTGGAATCATCACATAAATTTTCCTGCATAGAATTTGAATTTTCATTAGTTTAAAAATATTACCCTTCCAACCTATCCTCTACAACCCAGATTTATTTAAAGAAGCAGTTTTTTATTCCATGTTTGATCACCATTTAATTCTATGTAATCTATTTCTATAAGAAACAAACTATCAAATTATGTTTACATTTCAGTCTCTTCTGACATTTCTGGCTACTTTTCTTTCATGTAGTTTGGCATTATGGTCTTTAAAATGACTTAATTCAATACTACTAGGTTTTTATTAATGTATATTTTATCTTTACATTAAATAATTTATACTAAATAATCTTATTTACCATTAACATTTTGTTTGTGAAATTTATTTTATCAGGTATAATGTAAGCAATCACTGCTTTTTCATATTTGTTCTAGCATGATAGACCATACCTTTATTTTTTCATTTTCATGATAAGTTTTGGCTTTTTTAATTGATTTTTTTAGAGAAAGAGGAAGGGAGAGAGAGAGAGAAACACAGAGTTGTTGTTCCACTTATTTACGCATTCAGTGTTTGCTTACTGCATGTGCTCTGCCCTGGTCTGGGCCAGCTCTGACTCCAGGTGCTGCAGGATTCTGTGAGCTGTTCCATCTGCACAGCACAGCACACCTACACCTCCCTCAGGCTGTTCTCCAAACTGGCCTTCAGGTTTCTCATTGAGTCCAGGTCAATGTCCAAGGCTTGGACCATACATCTCAGCTCTATGTCATCTCAGCAGCTATTATTTCAGTGGTCTGAGAGGTGACCAGTGTGGTGCTCTCCTCAATCTGCTGGGACCAGTACTTGTCTAGCTCCTTGAGGTTCTTCTGAGTCAGCCTGTCCTCGTCACACTGGGCCTAGATGTCCACCATGATCTTGTTGAGGTCCTGAGATTTGGGGGCATCCAACTCCACGGTCAACCCAGAGTTGGAAATCTGGTTTTGTAGACCATTTACTTCCGCCTTGTGGTTCTTCATGAAGAGCAACTCAAGAGCCTCAATCTCTGTTTCCAGCTGCAGCCAAGTGATATTGGTGTCATCAATGGCCTTTCGGAGACCACTGATGTCACTCTCCACAGACTGGCGCATGGCCAGCACCATCTCATACTTGACTATGAAGTCATCAGCAGCAAGAAGTCATCTACAGACACTGTCAATCTGTAGAACAATGTGGGCATTGTCCACAGAACTTGCAAAGATCTGAGCCCTCGGGTCCTCAATGGTCTTGAAATAATGCCCCAAGTCCCTGACCTGCAGTCCCTTCTCCAAGTGTTCCCAGATTTTGCTCTCAAGTCTCCAATTATCAGCCTCCAGGCTTCTCACCCTCTCTAGGTAGAAGGCCAAGAGGTCATTCAGGCATTGCATCAGTCTCCTTCTCGCTCTGGATAGCCCCCTATGCCTGTCAGAGCCCCTGCCATCCCTGCAGCCAGGCCCCTCAACCTCCAGTTGCCCCACACACCGGTGGAGTGGGACACAGAGATCTGGGAGCCCAAGCCCCTGGTGCCTGCATAGACGCTGGCTACACTGCTGGCCGGCCAGGCCCACTGCCTGGGCAGGCGACTGCATGGAGCCCAGGGTCCAGTAGTTTGTGGAGAAGCTGGTGCAGGTGCTGAAGTTCACGTTCAGGGAGGAAAGCGAGAAGTTGAAACTCAAATTCAAGCAGCCAATGTTTTACTCTTTTTTTTTTTTTAAAGATATCTTTATTGATTTCAAAGAGAGGAAAGGAGGGGGAGAGAGAGAGATAGAAACATCAATGATGAGAGAGTCACTGATCGAGCCCGCAACCCGGGCATGTGTCCTGATCGGGAATCGAACCCCGATCGCCTGGATCCCAGGTCGACGCTCAACCGCTGAGCCACGCCCGGACGGGCCAATGTTTTACTCTTATTATGACATTTGCTGTAAGTTTGTAACCCTTCTTTTTTAAGTTAAACTGAGTTTGTTCACATTTAATAACTGTAATAAATGCTTATAGAATAAATGCATAAGTGAATTCCTTCACACCTCATTTTTTTTTAACCTTAAGTTAATATTTATATGTACAATAAGGGATAAATGCAGTCCGATATGATTAATCAATTTGATGATATATAATATGAATTAAATTGGACTCATTTTTTTTCTTCCAGTAAAAGCTTTGTCTTTTAAAAACATGTTTTCATTGACTTTTTTTTTTTTTAAGAGAGAGAGGAAGGGAGAGGGAGGGAGAGAAACATCCATGAAACACCTATCAGCTGCCTCTGTGCGCCCCCTATTTGGGATGGAGCCCGCAGCTCAGGCACATGCCCTGACCAGGAATTGAACCAGACCTTTCGATGCATGAGAGGACACAACCAACTGAGCCACGCCAGCCAGGGCAAAACTTTATTTTCTTATATCAGCTTTCTCCCAACCCCTTAGTAAATTGAGAACTGAACTGGAACAGGAAATAGTCCCATTTTAAATTCAAACAAAGTTAAAGACATTCAGACTTAACTATAGACAATGGTAATGCCATTTAACAAGATGAATTCAATGAATATAAGTAAATGTCTACGAACATAAGGTTTTTCCCCATGGCCCAACCCTCCACTGCAATCACTCACAGTAATTCAACTGCCTTCGCATTTGGCAATGTCATACAAGTGAATTTGCTGATTACTAGCAATATTACAAAATGAACCCAAGGCCACATAATCAAGATTCACAACAACAAAGAAACCCTAGGAATGCAGGTCAAGGCAGGAGTTTGCAGCTGGCCAGATATGATGCAATTTGCCTAATTATCATTTAGGTATTTGCTATAATAAATAAAATAAGTATCTCCCAAGTTACTAGAAAACAGTCATACCTATCACCATTCTGTGACCAGAAAATGAAAATAATTCCTGTATTTATAAAGAAAAAATTCTTTAAAAAAGATATTAACCATTCTTCCATGCTCACAATAGAAGCTCTATTTCTGAATTTAAAACACTATTCAGTGCTTGTTTAAATATCACATTTAGACAATATGGCTTTTGACATTAAACTTCTATGGGAGAAAATTAGACATCTTTTCATTTTGCTTTCATATCAAACTAATAGAGCAACTTAAAAATTCAAGAAGAGCATGGGTTAGTCTGACTCAAGAAGTACTTCCAAAATTCAACCCCCTAGCTTCTTTTCTGGAGAAACTGTACATCATCACAAATATTTCCTAACAACTTCTGGGGAAGAAAATGGAAAATCAAACCCATAGCACAAAGGTTGTGGTAGATGTTTTCTCCTCAGCATCAGGTAAAGCCTTCTTATAAGCTGTTCTATTTCAACAGATGATTCAGCTGGTCCTGTAGATCCGATGACTGCTCAACACTAGAAATTAGAGAGAACGTTTATCTAGAATGAGCAATAAAGACATCTCTGTGCTAATTATTTGTACTTTAACATGTAAATTAACTGTTAAAGCTAAATCAGTATGTGTATTGGCCTACTAGGATCCCAGAAGTTTTTAAACAATGAAGAAAAGGTTTGTAAAGCCAATTAGTAGTATGAACAATATTGCAAGGGACAGATTTAATCCACTAAAAAGAAAACAAGGCTGTTTAATGACTTTGGCACATTTACTCTACTTAATGATTATCACCAATGTAAAAAGTTTTCTTAAGGTTGGTCTCTACACCCTGTGGCTTTAAGAAAGCCTTTACTAGTAGTGCACACCTTTGACACGCCTTTGAAATACACTGTATTCTTTATGTCCCAAATAAGCTATCCCAGAGCATATATCAATTTAAGGGCATCTGTCAACCAGAGTTTTGCACTAATCCTAGGCCCAGCAGTATAATTCCCTCTCGCCTGCTTCAGCTGGCCACCCACTCCCCTTATCTATGGGGTTACTTACTTCTTCTGAATAGCTTCTTGCCTAAACCAGGAAAGGAAGGAGGAAAATAAACGTAGGAAAACTCAGTGAACTAGTAGAAGTTATTTATGGGCAGATATATACAGGCAGAACTCATTTCTAGCTTATGTCACAGTCTTTGTTTCTGTCCATCCTATCCTAAGTTTGTGCTATTGAACCCGTTCACTGTATGAATGCAGAGCTGCTGAAAAGATGGATTCTAAACCTAAAGAGGTAACAATATTCTATCATACAGTGGGGGATGTGGTCCAATAAACTATATGCATGACTGAAATTCAGTTTGCAGAGTATGTGGAGTCAAATGGTCACATACCCAATATGTATATACCCAAAGAATAAACATCTAGCTATTTAAATATCAAGAGTTAAATTTCCAAGCGTACATTTCCAGTAGGTACATAAGTATAAGATCTACTACACACAAGATAAAACAAAATGAAATAAGATGAAAAGCCAATTAAATTATAATATTATCCAAAATTATAGAGAGGGGGCAGGTGGAGAAGGTGTCTTTACATTTCAAAATCTCCTGGATGATTTACACGTAGCTAGGGCTGGGCTACATGTGGGAATGTAGGATACAGGTCACATTTACACTTGACTCCCCACTGGAGTTGACTCCCCAGGAAAAAGCTCGAGCACAGACAACAAATACTAATTAAGTGCCTACTGGGTGCCAAGCACTATGCTAGCATGGTCCTGGCATGAGCCCTCCCTTATGGGGTTTACAGTCTCTTCTTCTCAGAAGCCCTCAAATTAACACAGGAAGACTCACAAAAGGTGGTCCCTGCTCCTGACCTCACCCCTTATCCCACTTTCTGCAATCTCAGGCGTCTTTTCCAGCGGGAACTCATCCTTGACCGACCCCACCTGTACTCCCAGCTCCTGCCTCCAGAGGAAAAAGAGCTGAAGCGCCAAAGCAAAAAGCAGCAGCTGAGTTTCTAGCAAGCAGGCAGCAGAGAGGACATACTCACTGGTATTGAAGATGTGTTGTTATTATTGCCATTTTCCTTAAACTCTGCATTAAAAAGAAGAGAGAAATAGAACATTTCACTTCCCTGTAGCCCACAAACTATGTATATAAAACCCAAACCATACAAGAAATGGTTTCTTACATCTTCTGAGTGCAAGATGGCATCTTCCTGTAGTACCATGTTTCGAGCTGCCTGACCTAGCAGCTAGAAGAGAGAAAAAATGGTAATATTCAACATTTCCAAACTTCCTGCAGTCTCTCTGCAGCTGCTATACCCCTGCCCTCTCTCCTCCCTACACTCTCCCACACAACTACACACACTCTAAATGTAATGGAGGACAATGTCTCATTTGTTTGCATTAAAAATCCATTTCATTGTCACTGTAGCGGCTCTGGCGCGGGCTTGACACCTATTCCAAAGGCCACTGCCTGAGAAACCCAGTGCTCCACAGCTGCTGAGCTCTCTGCACAGCGTATCAGTCTAATGCTGCAAGAAGTTTGCAAAACAACACCAAAACACCTCTGGCTCCACAAGCCCATTGAGAACCTGCCTTCTGATTCTTTCAAGGCAAATTTGAGATTTGGGGTGGTTTGAGAGGAGCGAGGGGGCAGGGCGTAGGGTAGGGCTGAAAAGGACACAAGGAACGCAGCTGTTCAGAAGCGGACCGGGCCCTGGCTGGTGTGGCTCAGGCGGCTGAGCGCTGTCCTGGGCACCGAAAGGTCGCCGGGTCAATTTCTCTCTCACATCGATGTTTCTCTCTCTCTCCCTCTCCTGTCCTCTCACTCTAAAAGTCATTTAAAAACATATTTTTTAAAAATTTATAGAAGTGGAATGAGAGCCGCAGAGAGGACGGGAAAGGCCTGGGAAGAAGCTCAGGACGTAAAGTGGAAAACCCACCACATGAAGGATGGAAAGATGGGGATAGGGAAAAGAAAAGAAAGGAGAAACGTGGAGGCAGATTTTAGTGAGTTCAGTGATCGCTGGGCCCTGAGCTGACTCAGCTGAGTGGCCTGTGGTCAAAGAGATGGGACGCAGCACTGAGAGGCAAAAAAAGATCATCTAACAGAGGTTTCTGGCCTATTGTCGCACCCTGATCTTGGCAGACATTAAGTCCAGCCATGTAGAGGGAACTACTGTTACGTGTGTCCTACCAACCTTCCCTGTTTCCTTGAGTCAGAGAGATTCTGGTAAAAAGGGGACCCATGACTTCAAGTTAACCAGGAACAGGAGGAGCACTGCTACAGCCACCAGATTCCTTCGCTCACGGCAACTTTTATTTATTTTTCTTTTTAAGTTTTAAAATTAATAAACCTTGCCCAGCTGGTGTGGCTCAGCAGTTGAGCATCGACCTATGATCCAGGAAATTGAGGTTCGATTCCTGGTCAGGACACATGCCCATGTTGCAGTCTCGAT